CGACGAAGCACTAGTGCGCTACGTCAACAACCGCAAGGACATTTCCGTGACGGTCCGCACCCCGTCTCTGTGCGTTGTTTTCATGTCGCAATGATGTAGGTGAACGTCTACCCGTTTCCGATCACGGCGCAGACGAAAGCGCTCTTCAGCTCGTTCTTGTCGTTCACGGCGTGCCTCTTCATCGTGATCGCGATGACGTTCTTTCCCGCGTCCATCGTCACGTTCCTCGTGAAAGAAAAGCAAAAACGTGTGCAACTCCAAGCACCAGCAGCTCGTCTCGGGCGTGAGTCTACCGGCCTTCTGGCTCTCCAACTACTGCTTTGACCTGCTCGTTTACGTCATTCCATTTGCGGCCGCGCTCATATTGATCCAAGCCTATGGCATCCAAGCACTCACGGGCGACGACTGTGCGGCGTGTGCGTCCAACACGCCGCAAGCCGTCTTTCTGCTCTTTTTCTTCTTTGGCTTTGCGATCGCGCCGTTTACATACTGCATGTCGTACTGCTTCAAGGAAGCGGCGGCGGCGCAGTTTTACACGCTCATCATCAACATGGTGCTCGGCCTCATCCTGATGATCGTGTCGTTCGTTCTCGACGTCATCTCCGAGTCGGCGAAGGACGCCAACGTCTACCTCAAGTACATCTGGCGGCTCTCGCCGCTCTTCAACCTCGGCAACGGACTGCTCACGATGAGTCTCAAGTCGCTTGTCGGCTCCATCACCAACTCCAAGACCGTCGTCAGCGCTTACGACTGGGACGTTGCGGGCACCGAGATCACCTACTTGGCGATCGAATCGGTCGTCTTCTTTGGACTTGCCCTGGGCATTGATGTGCTCTTGAGCTTTCCGCGGGTCAAGGCCATCTTCTCGCGCGACCCGCAGCTCGACGCCAAAGACGATCATGTCGACGATGAAGACGTGGCCGCCGAGGCCAAGCGCGTGCTCGACGGCCATGCAGATAACGACATGATCGTCATCAAGCGTCTTAAGAAGGTGTACACGGGCAACAAAATCGCGGTTCGGAACCTCTCGTTTGCGCTGCCCAAAGGCGAGTGTTTTGGCTACCTCGGGGTACGACGACTTTGCATTTTGAGATTGCTTTTTTCTCATAGAAAACATGGCGTAGATCAACGGTGCGGGCAAAACGACCACCATGAAGATGCTCACGGGGGACATTCTACCCTCGGGCGGCGCCGCAACGCTCGGTGGGTTTGACATTCTCACGCAGCAGCTCGAGCTGCGGCGCTTGATTGGCTACTGCCCGCAGTTTGACGCACTCATTGAGCTCCTCTCGGTGCGCGAGCATCTGGAGCTCTTTGCCAAGATCAAGGGCGTGCCATCTGCCGATATTGCCAGCGTTGTCCAGGAGAAATTGACGCAAATGAACCTCCAGAGCTTCGAACACAAGCTCGCGGGCACGCTGAGTGGCGGCAACAAGCGCAAGCTCTCGGTGGCGATCGCGATGATCGGGTCGCCACCCATCATCTTCCTCGACGAGCCGTCCACGGGCATGGACCCGGTGTCGCGCCGGTAGAATACTCCTCTCTCGTTGGTCGCTCAAAACGGCGATTTTGTAGGTTCATGTGGGACGTCATTGCGGACGTCTCGACAGCCAACAAGGAGTCGACGATCGTCCTCACAACGCACTCGATGGAAGAGTGCGAAGCGCTGTGCACGCGCGTCGGCATCATGGTCGGCGGCCGCCTTCGCTGCCTCGGAAGTGTCCAGCACCTCAAGTCGCGCTTCGGCGACGGCCTCATGATCGACTCGAAACTCAACGTGCCGACGCCGGTCCAGCTCGGCGATTTCTTCGCACACTCGGTCCAACCCGTGTGCCAGGCGGCGAAGGATCTCGAGACGCACCTGAGTCGGGACCAGGTACACTAATGGTAGACCAGAGGATTCGTCATGCTGACACGCGGATGTTGCGTAGCTCACCAAGCTGTGCAGGGACCTCGGGCAATCCGAGCGCGCGGGCTGGATCGCCAAGACGCACTCCACCGGGTATGCGCTGGACGCGGTCCTTGAGCGCGACAGCACGGTGTCGCTCTCCCTCTTTTGCGCGTGGTGGGTCGGCGAGAACCAGTTTGTGGCCTTCGACAGCTTTCTCCGGTCGACGTTTGCGCGCGTCGAGCTCCTCGAGCGCCAGAACGAGCACTGCCGCTTCAAGCTCCACGACAGCGTCGACGCCAAGCTCAAGCTCTCGGACGTCTTTGCCAAGATGGAGGCGCACAAGGTCGCGGTCGCGCTCAAAGAGTACTCGGTGTGCCAGACGTCGCTCGAGCAGATCTTCAATGCGTTTGCGAGCCAGCAAGACGAAGAGAAGGGCGTTGCGCGCGGCATGGAAGTCAAGAAGAGCGTCTGAGTTCCTACTTGTATTGCCATTCTACCTCCGCGTACTACATAAAAACACCATACAATACATAGTTTCAACGGCATGCTAACACTTGTGCACATGTGGTGACAAGACACTGAAAGTTTTCATAAGTCCACTGCACCTAGTGGTCGTGATGGTCGTCGCTGCACCGTTGGAGCTTGGGACTTCGCTGATCCGAAATGGCACTCTCGTCTCGGCGCTTGCCTCGTACGCTGGCGAGGATGGCGTCCACGGCAGCCACCATACGAATGTCTTCGTCCAACTCGTTTTGCTGGGTCGTGTATCGGTAAAAGGCGCAGCGAGAGACGCACCCGGGCTGCTCTTCCTTCTCGATCGAGTCCTCGTCGTCCGACTCGGAGCCCTGGCACTTGATAGCGCGGAGCCGCGTCGGGTGCGCGTGCAGAGTACCGCGAACGACATCACAGAGCGCCGCGAGGCGACCCACTCGACGACGCATCGCGCCATCGTTAAGGAATTCCCGAAGAATCTTGCAATCGGCGCAGTGCGTCGGGTCGACAGCAATGTCGCGGATGACGTAATCGGTCAACGCTGGCAGCGGCGTCGCGTCACGAACGTCTCCGAGCAGCGCTAAGAACTGCGTCGCCAAGCACGCGACAAGAGCCTTCTCGTGCGGCGCAACGGCGTAGAGCGTCTGCACAAATGGAAAGAGAAAGTAGCGGTACCGTGCCAAGGCGACATCGCGCTCCTTTGCGTCGGCGGGGGCAGCTGCGCCGCCCACGCGGCTGCAACCGCCGAGATCGATGCGGGCGACACAACGGCCAGCGCTTCGAGCGCCGCCACGATTGGTCTCGTGGTGCGGGTTGTC